TATATATATATATATATATATATATATATATATATATATAATATAAATGATAATTAAATGTTAATTCAATTCAAAAACTATGAATAAATAATAAAAAAAATTAATAAAAATAATTGTGAAATTGAAAAAAAAAAAACATCCAATGAATAATATTTTTAATTCTGATATTATTTAGTACTAAAATACTCCTTAATGGAAATAAACAGTGACAAAATCACAACAAAATTAAGACTAAAATTTAAATGCAAATAGAAAATATTAAATAAATCCAAATGTAAACTATTAATAGTGAACTAAAACAAAATTAATTAAACTAAAATAACTTGAAATGATTAAACTATATAGTGAAATATCGGTAAATAAAATATGAATAACCTAAAAATTACTTGATGCTAAAAATATAAAACTCTGGGAACATATATTAAAAACAAAAACACTAATAAACAATAAGAAAACAAAGAAAATGACTAAAACTTCAGCAAACATAAATAAAAGTTAAATAGGTTCAGTGTCAAACGAAAAAAAATAAAATGTTTTAATTTGAAGTGAGACAAACTGCAGCAATCACCAATAGATGGCGACAGAGGGGATTTCCAACTCTAATATTAAATCAGCTTTCGCGCATTATGTGTTTTACCGATACACTCTCCGCGCACGTCTTGTCTGTAGCCCATGTTGCATTCGCAGCGGTAACTCGTCGGTGTTGGGATGCAGCGGCCGTTCAGACACAGATTTGTGAAGTGTTTGCAGACGTCGATCGTGGTCTCATTTAGCTGACCTGCAGAGCACAAAATACACCAATCAAGCACAGATACACTAATAAAAGACGCATAAAGTCCTGCTTTTCTACTTCAGTGTGTGTGTGTGTGTGTGTATATACACACACACACACACACACACACACACAACTTATGTAAATACAAACTAAGCACTAATTACAGCACTAATTAAAAACATTTGAGTGCTTTTTTTAAAAAAAAAACAAGATAACAGATTTATTTAATAGTAAACTGACGGAGATTATGCGATACGTACTGATCTGGATCTTCTGTCCTCCATTTCCGTTGCCGTTAGTGAAGGTGTGTTCGCTGCCATAAATGTATCCCCCCCCGCCGTTTCCGTTCTGCGAAGGCCCTTTTCCATATCCGCCGATGTTCAGACCGCCGTTACCGTCATGAATGATGCCGCCGTTACCGGTGCCGAACGGGAGCCTCTGGATGCACAGACGCCGGTATTCATCTGGAAATAAACAACACGCACTTACTAGATGACGATTACAGGGAGACCACTTTTGTAGATAGTAGTTTATAAATGTCTTTCTATTAGACTGCAATTTGTACATTCGTTCCTAATTTAAATGCAAACGATCAAATAAAAACAATACATTACAAATAACCACTGTAATTTGTAAATATATATATATATGTGTGTGTGTGTGTGTGTGTGTATATATATATATATATATATATATATATACATATATATACATATATATGTATATAAATGTTTATGATAAAAATGATATATAAATATTTAAACATCATTGTAACAAAATAGTTTAGTTGTTTATGTATGTTTATGTATTATATAAACATTGTAAAAATATAAATAATACAAACACGTATATTATGTCAAAACAAACTTTTATTTTAGATGCAATTTATTGCAATCTTTGTTTAGCACATTTATTATTTATTAATATTTTATAGCTTGCCATTCAGAGGATAAAAATTTGGTCAAAATAACACAAACAATAAACAAAAATGTGCCATGTTTATATTTCTTTTCACGTTACACAATGCTATTATTTAAAAAAAAATCTATCTGTCTGTCTGTCTGTCTGTCTGTCGGTCTGTCTATCTATTTATCTAGATAGATAGATAAATAGATAGATAGATAGATAGATAGATAGATAGATAGATAGATAGATAGATAGATAGATAGATAGATAGATAGATATTATATGTATACAGTTGAGATCAGAATTATTAGCCCCCCTATTTATTTTATTTTGATTATTTATTTATTTATTTTATTCTGATTTATTTTATCTTTGCCATGAAGACAGTTAATAATATTTTACTAGGTATTTTTCAAGACACTTCTGTACAGCTTTAAGTGACATTTAAAGGCTTAACTAGGGTAATTAGGTTTTTGTTTAACGATGGTTTGTTCTGTAGACTGTTGAGGAAAAAATAAAGCTTAAAGGAGTTAATATTTTTATTTTTTAAAGATTTATTTTTGGTCTTTTTGTCTTTATTAGATAGGACAGTATTGAGACAGGAAGCTAAGTGGAAGAGAGAGAGGGGGTAGGGTAGGGAGATGTCCTCGAGCCGGGATATGAACTCGCGACGCCCTGACATGCTATTGCACCATATGTCGGCGCGCTAACCACTAGGCTATTGCGCCGACTGGAGTTACTAATTTTGACCTTAAAATGGTTTTTAAAAAATTTTATTCTAGCCGAAATAAAACAAATAAGACTTTTTCCAGAAGAAAAAATATTATCAGACATGCTGTGAAAATTTCCTTGCTCTGTTAAACATCATTTGAGAGATATTAAAAAAACAAAATTTAAAGGAGCGCTAATAATTCTGACTTCAACTGTATACATATATATATATATATATATATATATATATATATATATATATATATATATAGATGACAAGCTGCTTTTAATTTGTTCAGCAAATGTAAAACAAAAAAACTGATATTGTACATTAAGCAAAACCAGAAAACTGCAGGCGTGAGCTGAGGAATTGGCAACCGACTGACCTGTACATTCCTGCAAATAAAACATGTCAAAGAGCGTAAAACACATGAGTGTGAAGACGAGAGAATGAAGGAGAGCGTTTTCTTATCCTCGGGCTGACCTGACATGTATTTATCTTGATTTTACAGTGAGGTACAGTACGATTCTTCACAGACGCTGACTTAAAGGTCAAGCATCTGAAGAAATTCCTGCTTTGAGACGATGTTTTCATTGTAATACGTTATGAGAAGAGTCTACACTCATTTTAGCATATTATGACAGGTTCATAATCTATATTAAAGTTCAAAACGACAATAAAATACCACACAAATCTTTAAAATGGCTTTGAGAAATCTCTTACTGCATTTCCTGTTGAAAAAGGAAGTTGGAATATTTTTATGCTGAAAAATCCAGCTTAAACCAGCCTAGGCTGGTTGGCTGGTTTTAGCTGCTTGACCAGCCTGGTTTTAGAAGGGTTTTGGCCATTCCAAGCTAGTTTCCAGCCATTTCCAGCCTGGTCTTAGCTGGTCAGGCTGGAAAATGACCAGCTAAATCCAGCTGAAACCAGCTTGACCAGCCTGGTTTAAGCTGGACATAGCTGGTTTGGGCTAGGCTCCCAGCCTGGCTAGGCTGGTCAAGCTGGTGTTAGCCGGTCATCTCCCAGCCTAACCAGCTAAGACTAGACTGGAAATGGCTGGAAACCAGCCTGGAAGTGGCCGAAACCCCTCTAAAACCAACCCGGTGGACCAGCTTAAACCAGTCAACCAGCCTAGGCACAGTAGGTGAACTGTGCTACGTGCTATTGCTACAGGCGGGACAGTTTATTTACAAAAAAGGAAATCATAGTGCAGGATAATATCAGTTATATTAACACTTAAATACATGCTAATGTGCTAAAGTAGTTTTTAAATACGTCTTTAGCTAATAATACAGCTAACTGTGCTACGTGCTATCGCTAGTCAGAAAAGGGTGAGACATTTTCATTCAGGAAACCATTTCATTACAAAAAAAAGTATACTTAATGTAGGATATGACAAGCTGGCTTATTTATCCTAAATTACATGCTAATACGTTAAAGTAGTTAATATTTTTAAAGCACTCTTTAGCTTATAATACAGCCATTAAGTGTGCTATGTGCTATCGCTAGTCAGAGACAAATGGGACATTTAAAAGCCACAAAATACATTTTGTAGTAACAACTTGATAAAAAATGCTACTTATTAGCATTAGCATATTCAGATGCTTTGATGGGCCACATTAATTTCACATCATCAAAACTTTTGGAAATACTTTTTACTTACTACTTTACTCATTTACTCTATTTTTTAATGTATGTTAGCATACATATGTTAGCATAAAAGCTAACAAATGAAATGGGCCAAAAGCCACAAAACTTAAAGTTCAAATTTATTGTATTAGCGACTGTAACAGTGATTCTTGACATAACGATCATTGCTAATGATTAGCATTAGCATATACTCATCAAATGCTCCGTTGGGCCCCATTAATACCACTTCACTTTTGAACCACTTTTGAAAATATAGTTTTTATTTATGTACCGTTAAATGTTTATGTTAGCATAATTATGTTAGCATAGACAAATTAGCCTCAAAGCTAACACGCACAGAATCAATTTAAGTCAAAAGTTTAAAGTTCAACATTTCTAGTAATAGCAATTGTAATATAAGGTGTCTGACTTAGCAACATTGTTAGTGATTAGCATACTCACCACGTCCTCATATAGGCTACGTTAATTTTCATTGTCATAAATAATTTTGGAAAAATAAACTCATTTTAATTGTGCCTATGTCTGTCAAATATTTTTAACATTATTGAAACATTTAATATAATGTTAGGATTATTTTTGGAAAATCATTTTTTAATTGCGCGTATCGTAAATGTAAGCATACAGACGTTAGCCTCAAAGCTAACAAACAGAATGGTCTTAAAGCCATACAATTAAAGTTGAAATTAGTTGTATTAGCAATGATTCTTGTCATTCAACGATTCTTGACTTGGTAAACATTGTTAGCTATTAGCTATTAGCATACTCACCGGATCCTCTGACGGGGCACATCTCAGGTATGTGTCCGAGGGCCCAGCAGCGGCCTGTGTCGCAGCAGCACTGCATCTTGGTGTACTGACCAGACAGTTCACTCGCACAGCGGCCGTTCGCCAAAGACGAGAAGCACGTCCCGATCCGATGATCTGTGCGAAACACAACCAGAGAAAATATATGAGTATTTACATTTATTCACTTAGCAGACACTTTTATCCAAAGCCATGTACAAATACGTATAAAAGAAGCACTTCAAATTACCAGAACAAGTAACAACACGTGGATGTTATGGAAACCCTGCTGTAAAATCCAGCTTAAACCAGCCTAGGCTGGTTGGCTGGTTTTAGCTGGTTGACCAGCCTGGTTTTAGAGGGGTTTTGGCCATTTCAAGGCTGGTTTCCAACTATTTCCAGCCTGGTCTTAGCTGGTCAGGCTGGAAAATGACCAGCTAAATCCAGCTAAAGCCAGCTTGACCAGCCTGGTTTAAGCTGGACATAGCTGGTTTTGGCTGGTCAAGCTGGTTTTAGCTGGTCATCTCCCAGCCTGACCAGCTAAGACCAGGCTGGAAATGGCTGGAAACCAACCTGGAAATGGCCAAAACCCCTCTAAAACCAGCCTGGTCGACCAGCTAAAACCAGCCACCCAGCCTAGGCTGGTTTAAGCTGGATTTTTCAGTAGGGAAGTCTTGGCTAGTTTCGGAACAATTGCTATTTTATAAAACTGAAAATACAGAATTATTCTATTATCCCAACTAATTGTGCATCAACCTTCAAACAGTGTTCTTGTCAACACCGTTTCCCTAAACAGGAAGTCAAGTCCACGTGCGCCCTTTTCACACTTCCCAGACAGGAAGTTAATTTATGATGTGGGAGCCTGAGAAGTCCACTGGAGAAACGGCTAACACACTGCATCAGGAATGAGGTTTGAGATGGGACGTTTTGCTCCATGAAGGTCAACGAGGGAGGATAGTTTGCGTATGCTTACTACAGCAACATTAGTGTGTGTGTGTGTGTGAAGCACGTGAAAGTCGATTAACTTGGCTAATGAGCCGACGATCTGCTATAAATCAAGCCCATGTGGAGTAATCTTGGCCAATTACATTGGACGCAAGAACCGCTTCGTCTGGAGGTTCCTGGCGCACACTCCTGAACTGCAACCTCTTGGGATCGACCCGGCTGGAGGCTTTCGCAAGCGTGTTGATGGGAACGCTGGCTTCAATTGCAACCAGACCTACTATTGGGCCTCAAAGTGAGATTTCTTGTGTTCGCGCGGGGCCCAACAACGCATTAGTGCTGATTAGCATCAGGATAAATGACTCCCTGTGGGCCTGGTCCTGTGCGATACAAAGCAGCAACCAGGGGGCAAACATGAAGATAACACTAAACCCTGTTTTGCCTTTGGTTTCCAGCCTAAAACAACGCCTAAATAGCTAGCAACTTGTTTGGAACAACAAGCTTGTGACTCTACTACAGCACAAAACAGTAATATGTTTGCAGATGTTTTAAGAAACATGCTAAGTAAACACTGAACACTGTTCATCTGAAAAACAATGCTAGAATAGGTTTTCCCCTCAGTGTTGGAAAGTCTATCTTAGTTTTGGTCTCTATAACCAGCCCACTCTAAGGCTGCCTCAGTGTATGCGGGCGTGAGCGACTTCCGGTGACCTGCGTCTACTCGAGTGACAACAACCGTTAATGACCAGGTGGGCATGTCGAGCGACACGACAAAGTTGAGAATCCTTCAACTTTATACAAATGAAGATGAACACCAGGACCAGGTGTCCTCACAAGTACAGAATTACCAGTAAAGTGTGTGTGCAGCTTGTATTCCTAACATTGTGGGGTCCAACCGTCTCCAAGTATAGCTATCGCCTTAAAATGTGTGCGTGTACACCTTGTATTCCTTAGGGTGTGGGGACCAAATGTCTTCACAAGTATAAAAAAACCAGTAAAATGTGTGTGTGTGTGCACCGTGTATTTGCTATGTTGTGGGGACCGAATTTCCTCAAGTATAGCAATACCAGTAATATGTGTGTGTGCACTGTGTATTTGTTATGTTGTGGGACCGAATGTCTCCACAAGTATAGCAATACCAGTAAAATGTGTGTGTGTGCACCGTGTATTTGCTATGTTGCAGGGACCAAATTTCCTCAAGTATAGAAATACCTGTAAAATGTGTGTGTGCACAGTGTATTTGTTATGTTGTGGGGACCGAATGTCTCCACAATTGTAGCAATACTAGTAAAATGTGTGTGTGCACCGTGTATTTGTTATGTTGTGGGGACCGAATGTCTCCACAAGTATAGCAATACAAGTAAAATGTGTGTGTGCACTGTGCATTTGCTATCCTGTGAGGACCAAATTTCCAGTATAGCAATACCAGTACGGTGTGTTTGCATGTGCTCACCTTGTATTCCTTACAGTGTGAGGACCAAATGTCCTCACAAGTAAAGCAAGTTAAGTTTGATCTTTTGGGGATGATTAGATGTTTTGGTGTGTTTGAGAAAAAAAATGGCTAATAAATCACACAGAAAGAAGTATTCTGAACAACTGATGGTTGGGTTTTGGGTGGGTTTGGAGAGAGAGAGTATACAGTATAAACATCATTATGTCTATGGGAAGAGCTTATAAAGATAGCTCTACAAGTGTGTGTGTGTGTGTGTGTGTGTGTGTGTGTGAGACAGCGTCTCACCAACACATCTGGAGCCGTCTGTGCTGGTGATGTATCCTCGTGGGCAGGTGCACACGTAGCTGCCGGCGGTGTTTGTACACTCTCCCCCGTCACACACTCCAGATATGGTTGCACATTCATCGATGTCTGAAACACCAGCAGAAATGAGGCATTATTGCACTGCAAACACCACCAATATGAATATCTTCCAGAGGTTTAACCAATTATGCATCAAAACAGGGGTTGCTTTATGGGGAAACATCTCTGAAGCACTTCTATTCAGTATGACAGATTCGAGAGATGTCATTTGTGGTTTCTCTTTTCTTGAATGGATTGACGTATCGCAACTACGAACGCAAACTCAACAGATGGTGAATCGTTCGGTTGGGGTTTATTGCGTGTCGCTCTCATATTTATACACATGTGCAATTATATTTATTTAGTATAATTATATGTGGAGGTTGTGTGTTCGGGGTTTGTTGCTTGAGCGTGAGGCGGGATGTGGGAGAAGGATGGCGAATGACTGTGTGTGTGTGGAAAGTGGGATCTGCTGAACTCATAAAAACCTCTGCAAAACAAACCCGCTCGTCAGACTTTACTCAGGGCGGACGTCAAGCTGAAAGCCTCCACAAATGACTGCTGGAGTGTGTGTTCATGCTTTGCTTTAGGACAGCATTTACAGAGTGTGTGTTTTATTTATTTATTTATATATTTTTTGCATTGTAGATGTGATCGTTTCTACGTTTCTGACACAACAAAGCTTTTAAGTTTTTTTTTTTTATACTATAAAAAAATGTGTTTTTTTAAAATCATGACGTTCTTCTAAATTCTTGCTGCTTTTGAAGACCCTTTCAAAAGTAATTATTGAGTATCTTCAAGTTTTTCAGAACTCAAAGGAGGTTTTTAATTAACTTTGGGGTTCTTCTGAGTTTTTATGAGCTTGTAAAACTTACAGCTGAAGAATTGGGAGTTTTTGCTGTGACAAAAACATTCGAAGAACCTTTTAAAGCAGTTTATTATGAGGTTTTTGTAGCGTAATACGCAACACCAACCTAGACAAGATATCACTTTAAACTATTAAAATGTTCATAAAAGTCACTTATTGGAACTTTTCAAGGTTAAAAGTGAACGGAAGAAAGATCAAGATCCCGTTATGCAATTTAAAAGGAGGAATAAATGAGGAAAAAACGTAAACATCAATCACTAAATAGAGGAAACTGCTAATTTACAGACATTTTTATTTACCTGTGTAGCATTTTTACTGTTAAATTGTTATTTTTCTTCTCCAGAAAGTGTCCTGTTATCAGATAGTAGTATTCTCGCCCTGGGGCAAGACTTCTACACCACACTATTGTCCAGTTATTATCAACCCAAGCAGCAGCTCCACACGACTTCAAAGAGCAGATCTCATTTACAGACTGACAAACGGCACTTTCAGCAGAGCTGGCAGGAACACGGGTCTGTGCTTTTACTCATCTCTGCGTCACGCAGGGTCAAAATGTGATTAGGAGTTAAAGTAATAAGCTCAGAGTCCGGGATTCCCTCCGTCTGGATGACTGGAAGCGTGTCGAGTCTCAGCAATTTTAGGCGATTAAAGATAAATACTTTTTTTCTGAGACTATTGTAACCCCAACTTAGGACTTAAAACAATACGTCTATGTGTATATGGTTTTTTTTCTCAATAATTAATATATTCATATTCATATAACATATGATGCATTTATTTAATTTACATCAACTTAGATTTTTTTATTAAATGTAACAAATTTATTAATACAACTAAAAATAAGAACAAATAAATTAATACAAGCACAAAATTACAAAAAGTTAATTAATTATTTTATTCACAAACATTTAAAGTTTTTTTTTTATTTTTATTTATTTAAAACACAAATATTTATTTATTTTAATGTAGATAAATATATTTAATGTATAAGACAGCATTTAGTTTTTTTATGCATATCATGTATTTGTTAAACATGCGTGTATATTTTCACTATTTGCACTACTGTTTATTTGTATTGTCAAAACAAACAATGACTGAAAAATCTCACCTAGCTATCATTAAACAGCAGTAATTCACTATCTTAGTCTGGCTTTATCTCAATGCTCCTGAAGGGAGAAGCGCAGACCCTGATTTACAACAGGCCTGTTTGTTTTCACTCAGCATTGTTTGAATTCCAGCTAAACAGCTCTGTGTTTAATAAAAGATGTTCCTGAAGATACAAACCTGAGCTGCGTTTCCCAAACAGTGACGTAACTCGCGACTAATGAACTACATCAGTGCCATCCGTCATTTAGTATTAAATCATGTAGTGTTTCCCGAACTTTACATTGGTTAAAATGCGAAATTCTGTAATAATGCTCCACAAGGGGGCGGAGTAACAACTTCTGTCCACATTAGATGCATCATCAAATCCACATCAGACGCTTTTTATGTAATGAAACTTTCTGTAATTGTTCATTTTCATGTGGAGAAACAGCGAAAGTGTGTAGAAAAAAGTGTGGCTTTTTTTTGTAATTAAAAAAAAAAACTTTTATTGTTTTAAGATGCATTTGTGTGGTTTTAGGTTCAGTGTCTGTTCAAACAATTATTTTACTTTCATCACTAAGAGGTTTCCTGAAAAAACAAAGTTTTACTCCACTAACCTTGACAACGTGGTTACATTTAAAAATTAATTTAAATTAAAAACTATTCAAACTAAAATTAAATTGATATAAAACTAAAAAGAAATATGTTTACTAAATTAAGAACTGAACTAAAACAACCTTTAATAAAATGAACCAAAAAGAAACTAAAATGTGCCTTACATTTTGAAATAGTTTTAAAATAAAATCTTCAGAAAGTGTCGGTTTCAGTCACATAAAACTTAGATTACGTGTGGACAAACAGCGAAACCATGTACAGAAAAGTGCGTCAAAAAAGTGCAGTTTTGAAAATACCCTCATTCATGTGGACAGGGCCTTTTTTTCTGATTTTTTAATTTACTTAAAGGTGCTATGTGTACGTTTTTGACTCTTCTAAAGCATAAAAATCCCAAGAAACATGCTAAGTGAACATTCTTGTTTATCTGAAAAACAATGCTGAAGTCAGATATTCTCATTTGAAAATGTGCGTTACGTGCTGGAAAGTCTGTCTTTGTTTTGGTAATTTCAACCCACCCATTGCCAGTTTAGCCAATTATATTTCAGCACTCTAGGATGCCTTGATGGAAAAACAGCGTATTTCATTCATTCAGTCATGAAGGCTCTTAAGTTCCACATGAGGTAGTTATAATTTAGCAAATAATATAAATCATATGAACGTAAACATTAGGTGAGCGGGTTACATTTTAACCCCGTGCCCTAACAACATGCTACATGACGAGATACGCAGTGATAAGCAATTTGGCTGTTTGCCAAACGAAACACAACAGAAGTCTAAATACATTCTGAAGCTCAGAATAGTGCACTCACTGCACTCCAACAAAATGGTAAGGTTTATAATCTAATGACTACATAAAAAAACCCTTTAACATTATTAACTGTACATGCTGAATGACTGATACGTGTTGGTGTTGTCAATCTGGCAACCTGCGCTAGCATGTCTCTTTACCCAGGAGTGCAATACCTAGTTCATAATTACTAAAATTAGATTGATAAAAACTACATAGAAATGTGTTCACAAAATTTAAAACGAAATTAAAACTAACACAACCATTAACGAAACAAAAAAATTAACTAAAACTAACACAACCATTACCGAAACAAAAAAACTAAATCTAAAACAACCATTAACGAAACAAAAAATACGAAAGTAACAAACCATTAACGAAACAAAAAACGAAAGTAAAACTAACACAACCAATAACGAAACAAAAGAACGAAACTAAAACTAACACAACCATTAACAAAACTAAACTAAAACTAACACAACAATTAACGAAAAAAAAAAAAAAACGAAATTAAAACCAACACAACCCTTAACGAAACAAAAAAATTTACTAAAACTAACACAACCATTACCGAAACAAAAAAACTAAATCTAAAACAACCATTAACGAAACAAAAACTACGAAAGTAACAAACCATTAACGAAACAAAAAACGAAAGTAAAACTAACACAACCAATAACGAAACAAAAGAACGAAACTAAAACTAACACAACCATTAACAAAACTAAACTAAAACTAACACAACAATTAACGAAAAAAAAAACGAAATTAAAACTAACACAACCATTACCGAAACAAAAAAACTAATTCTAAAACAACCATTAACGAAACAAAAACTACGAAAGTAACAAACCACTAACGAAACAAAAAACGAAAGTAAAACTAACACAACCAATAACGAAACAAAAGAACGAAACTAAAACTAACACAACCATTAACAAAACTAAACTAAAACTAACACAACCATTAACAAAACTAAACTAAAACTAACACAACAATTAACGAAAAAAAAACGAAATTAAAACTAACACAACCATTAACGAAACAAAAAAATTAACTAAAACTAACACAACCATTACCGAAACAAAAAAACTAAATCTAAAACAACCATTAACGAAACAAAAAATACGAAAGTAACAAACCATTAACGAAACAAAAAAAACGAAAGTAAAACTAACACAACCAATAACGAAACAAAAGAACGAAACTAAAACTAACACAACCATTAACAAAACTAAACTAAAACTAACACAACAATTAACGAAAAAAAAAACGAAATTAAAACCAACACAACCATTAACGAAACAAAAAAATTTACTAAAACTAACACAACCATTACCGAAACAAAAAAACTAAATCTAAAACAACCATTAACGAAACAAAAAATACGAAAGTAACAAACCATTAACGAAACAAAAAAACGAAAGTAAAACTAACACAACCAATAACGAAACAAAAGAACGAAACTAAAACTAACACAACCATTAACAAAACTAAACTAAAACTAACACAACCATTAACAAAACTAAACTAAAACTAACACAAAAAAATGAAAGTAAAACTAACACAACCATTAACAAAACAAATTAAAACGAAACTAAAATGTGCCGCACATTTTTAAATCGTTTTAAAGTAAAAACTCCTTTTGAAAATGCAAAACTATAATACGCTTAGCTCCAAACACACCAGAATGATCGTTGGAATGATGGGTTCGGGAAGCACAGAATTAAAAAGTATGTTTTTAATAGTGAAACTTGCGCTCTTATTTGGCTAATGATGGTTTTGGGAAAAGCACCTCTCGAAAAAGTCATCAGTTGGACTCAATGAATACTTCTGGCACCAAAGTTTTTCAAAACTCCTACAACGCCAAATCCATGACTCAACTTATTTTTTTTCCCTTCGCCAGTTACCAATGATGGACAGAAGTGAAGTCATTCTCCTGTGTGTGTGTGTGTGTGTGTGTGTGTGTGGTGAATGACGTACCTTCACACTTCTGGTTGGTCTCACTCTGTCGGTGACCCGCGGGGCATTTGCACTCATAAGAGCCCACAGTGTTGATGCAGTTTCCTCCAGCACACAGTCCCGGGACGGCCTGGCATTCGTCCACGTCTGACAGAATGAAGAAAAGAGTGCACGTAAACCCGTTTGACCCATTTATGCCACACGTGTGTTTAAAATAGTGCTGCACGATAAATTTCCTTCAGCTTAGCCCCTTATTTATCAGGGGTCACCACAGAGCAATGAACCGGCATGTGCTTTACGAAATGGATGCGCTTCCAGCTGCAACCCAGTATTGGAAAACACCCACACACTCTTTCCTTTACACTAAGGCCAATTTAGTTCATCCACTTCACCTATAGCACATGTGTTTGGACTGTGTAACCGGAGCACCCGGAGGAGTCTGGGCCTTTATAGCCTTCAGATTTCATAATAAAACTGCAGCTCTTTACTATTATCTGGATTGAATGGCACTTGCCTATCTTGCCTCTTCATATCGATTTTGTGCACATCTGCTGCCCAATTGAAATTGGAACTTGTATCCGATAAGCGCCTAAAAATTGGTTCTGTTTGTCTAATATAGTCCTAAAATAGCTTCTCCCGCTAAAAATGCCACTGAACGTGAGGAGACTCTGGAAATCTGCAGAAATCCTCCTGCTTGAACGCGCACATGTGTGGGCTTTGTACTCCAGCCAGGCAGACTTTTGTGAAAAGCACTCCGACTTTAAGGCAAATCCAGGCCAGACTTGGAGCTGTCTCTTATGCTGCACACTGAGGGGAGGAAAGCAATATCTGAAGGAGACGTTTATAGTCATTGCGAGAAGGCGTCTCTGAGATGATATGCGAAGTTGGGCTGGCATTTGGTATTGTGGCTCATAAAATGTTCGTTGACTGTAGAGCAACTGGACTTTTGGAGTTGAACTTTGCTTGCCCCCATTGTTAAAGAAACACTCAGCTTTATTGAAATAGGCTCATTTTATAACCCCCCTAGAGTTAAACAATTGCGTTTTAACAGTTTTGCATCAATTAAGCTGATTTCCAGGTCTGGTAGAGCACATTTAGCTCAGCTTAGCATAGATCATTGCATCAGATTAGACCAATTAGCATCTCACTCAAAATGGCCAAAGAATTGATCTTCGGGTCTAGTAGAGCACTTTTAGCTTAGCTTAGCATAAATCATTGAATCGGATTAGACCATTAGCATCTCACTCAAAAAGGATCAAAGAGTTGATCTTAGGGTCTGATAGCACACTTTCATCTTAGCTTAGCATAAATTACTGAATCGGATTAGTCTATTAGCGTCTCTGTCAAAAATGATTAAAGAGTTGATCTTCGGGTCTGGTGTTGCACTTTTAGCTTAGCTTAGCATAAATCATTGAATCGGATTAGACCATTAGCATCTCACTCAAAAATGATCAAATAGTTGATCTTTGGGTCTGGTAGAGCACTTTTAGCTTTGCTTATCATGAATCATTCAATAAGATTGGACCATAAGCATCTCACTGAAAAATTATCAAAGAGTTGATCTTCCGGTCTGGCGGAGCATTTTTAGCTTAGCTTAGCTTAGCATAAATCATTGAATCAGATTAGAACATTAGCATCTCCCTCAAAAATGACCAAAGAGTTATTCTTTGGGTCTGGCGGACTACCTTTAGCTTAGCTTAGCATAGATCATTAAATCAGATTAGACCATTAGCATCTCAATCAAAAATTACCAAAAAGTTGATCTCGGGTCTGGCGGAGCCCCTTTAGATTAGCTTAGCATGGATCATTAAATCAGATTAGACCAATTGCATCTCACTCAAAATGGCCAAAGAATTGATCTTGGGGTCTGATAGCGCACTTTCATCTTAGCTTAGCATAAATTACTGAATCGGATCAGTCCATTAGCGTCTCTGTCAAAAATGACCAAAGAATTGATCTTTGGGTCTGGTAGAGCACTTTTAGCTTAGCTTAGCATAAATTATTGAATCGGCTTAAACCATTAGCATCTTTCTCATAAAGGATCAAAGAGTTGATCTTAGGGTCTGATAGCGCACTTTTATCTTAGCTTAGCATAAATTACTGAATCGGATTAGTCCATTAGCGTCTCTGTCAAAAATGATTAAAGAGTTGATCTTGGGGTCTGATGTAGCACTTTTAGCTTAGCTTAGCATAAATTATTGAATCGGATTAGACCATTAGCATCTCACTAAAATATGGTCAAATAGTTGATCTTTGGGTCTGGTAGAGCACTTTTAGCTTAGCTTAGCATAAATTTTTGAATCGGATTAAACCATTTGCATCTTTCACAAAAATTATCAAAGAGTTGATCTTTGGGTCTGGCGGAGCATTTTTAGCTTAGCTTATCATGAACCATTGAATCAGATACAAACATCTCCCTCATCTCCCTTAGCGCATCTCCCTCAAAAATGACCAATGAGTTGATATTCTGGTCTGACAGAGAAATTTCAACTTAGCTTAACTTAGCATAAATCATTGAATCAGATTAGACCATTAGCATCTCAATCAAAAAATGACCAAAGAGTTGATCTTTAGGTCTGGGGGAGCACCTTTAGCTTAGCTTAGCATAGATAATCAAATCAGATTAGACTATTAGCATCTCACTAAAAATGAATAAAACGTTGATTTTTGGGTCTGGCAGAGTACTTTTAGCTTAGCTTAGAATAGATCATTGAATTAGATTAGACCATTAGGATCTCACTTAAAAAGATTTGATCTTCGGGTTTGACGCAGCACTTTTAGCTTAGCATAGCATCTAACTCAAAAATGACCAAAGGGTTTCCTATTTAAAGCTTGACTTCTGTACTTGCATTGTGTACTAAGACTGACAGAAAATAAAAAGTCGTTAATTTCTAGGCTGATATGGCTAGGAATTATGCTACGCAATATACTATAAGCAATGATATTATGCAGCACTTGAAAATAGTCCCCAGCTAGGTAATAGCACAGCGTAATATTAAAGTTCATTGATTATTTTACCAGAATAAGAGTATAGTTCCTAGACATATTGACCTAGAAAACAACAACTTTTCATTTCCAATGGTCTTAGTACACAATGTAACTAAAGAAGAGTCAAGCTTTAAATGGAAATATATGAACCAAATTAAAATTATTTTCTTTTTGTTCTTACATTTTGATGCTAACGGTCTAATCTGGTTCAATGATCTATGCTAAGCTAAGCTAAAAGTGCTACCCCTAAACAGGAGATTGGCTGAATGATCCTAGGAGTGTGTATAAATTAGCATATTTCCAAACAAAAACAAAGGTGGAGTGCTCCTTTAAGGTCATGTTGACGAATTAAAAAAAAGCTCTCGCCGAACAGTTTGGATAGAGCTATTGGATAATAAAAGATCATTAACTACTCACCCTCATGTTTTTCCAAACCCATAAGACCTTTGGTCATGTTTGAAACATAAATTAGGGATTTTAGATGATATCCGAGAGCTCTCCGGACATCCATAGACTGCAAGGGTCACCAAAACGATCAAAAAACAATCGATGTGTCATCAGAGGTTCAACCATAATTTTATAAATCTACGAGGAGACTTCTGTGTGAACAAATCCCACCAAGTAATGACTTTATTCAACAATTTCTTTGCGATATACAGTTGAAGTCAGAAATATTAGCCCCCCTGAATAATTTTTTTCCCAATTTCTGTTTAACGGGGAGAAGGTTTTTTAAACACATTTGTAATCATAATAGTTTTAATAACTCATCTCTAATAATAAATAATAATGCCATGATGACAGTAAATAATATTTGACTAGATATTTTTCAAGACACTTCTATTCACCTTATTCTCAGCTGTCGAGTGGGCGCTGCCATTTGAATCTTTTTGTCTCGCGACTTCCGGTCACATTCACTTCAATTCATTTTTGACGTTAACAACTGCTCGCTACGCTGCTTGATGTTGCAATTTAATATCTTCTTATTATATTATGCTACTTGGTCTGTGTAGTCATGCAAACATTTGTTTGTTGAGCAAGTAGTTTGGCCATTTTCTGCCGTTTATTATTCCTAGTCATTTCTCCCATAGGCGACTGAATCGGAAGTTCTAAGACAATCGCGAAAACAGGCGCACTTCCGCATTTTAGAATAAGGTCAATACAGCTTAAAGTGACATTTAAAGGCTTAACCAGGTTAATTAGTTTAACTAGGCAGGTTAGGGTAATTAGGCAAGTTATTGTATATCGATGGCTTGTTCTGTAGACTGTCGAAAAAATATATAGCTTAAAGGGGCTAATAATTTTGACCTTAAAATGGCGTTTAAAAAAATTAAAACTGCTTTTATTCTAGTGAAAATAAAACAAATAAGACTTTCTCCAGAAGAAAAAAATATTATCAGGCATGCTGTGAAAATTTCCTTGCTCTGTTAAACATCATTTGGGAAATATATATATATATATATATATATATATATATATATATATATATATATATATATATATATATATATATATATATATATATATAAAATAATAATAATCAAAGGGGGGCTAATAATTCTGACTTTAACTGTACATGAGCAGCTTAAGGCTCTTTCGTAAATGCTGACACTAATAAAGTTGTTTTATACTCGAAAGTATTTCCATAGCTTCATAATATTACGGATAAACCATCAATGCCACATGGTCCTTTTTTGAGTATGTTCTTGGTTCCTTTATGAACTTTGTTTCAGAGAGCTTCCAAAATATCTTCATTTGTCCTTCATAAATGATCAAAAGTCTTATGAGTTTTGTAACAATGTGGACAGAATTTTCCCTTTCATTAATCTATTTAATAAGCTAAGCAAATATGTTTTACAATGTGCAACAAGCCTTAAGAGCAGAATTCAATAATGTCCAAATATGTCCAAGAAAATCAAACAGCAAGTCCAAACAATACGCCCATAACTGTAAATAATTGTGACAAGCCATTATGCAATCCCACTCCTAATGGAAGTCGTCTAAATATTTGATGCTGTTAAGAAACATTAGGGCTATGGTTTACCCTAGACCGCTCTTAGCGTCACCTGTTCCGTCAGGCTGTAAATTAAGGCCGGAATTTGACGATCATGTGAGCCAGACACTGAGTTATTTGTTCATAAGCCGGCGGGAATGTTGACGCTCGTGCTTACCTTGGCATGCACCGGTGCGGATGTTGGGAATGAATCCTCTCCGGCAGGGGTGTGGTTGGGCAGGGCACATCTCACACGGGTGACCCCACGCTCGGCCAATGGTGGCGCAGCAGAGCGTTTTGGTGCACACGATGCCACTCAGCTGACCCTGGCACATCTGATTGTTGACCTGAGTGAAGCACGGTCCAGTCCGGTAGTCTGATTGGGGGAGAAATAAAGAGAAAAAGGTCACACTTCATTTTAAGGTACAATTCTTGCTATTAATAAAACTAATAACTATGACTTTTAGCTCAACAAAACTCTTAGTGTGTTGCTTGGTGAAGTTTCATAAGCTAATTTTAAGAGAACTTAGCTATGATATGATTGATCACGGCTGGTCTCTCATCTGTAATCAGCAGTAAGCCAATCAGATTGGTCCAAGGATACAATAAATAGGCCGATTTCACCCTACTGCCTTAAGGCTCGTGCACACCGAGACGTTTTTTGCTCGTGTTTTCTGTCGACGTTTAACGCCTCGTAACTAAATAAAAGGCGTCAATGTGATTGTGCACACCAACGCGCAAAACGGCAGGCGCAAAAGCGTCATTTAAAAAAAAAACGACTCATGCTCGTTTTTTTGTTTTGACGCGCGCCGTCATAACCTTCTCCACCAATCAGATCGGCACTTTTGCTCACAAGCACGGAGCTGCTGAAGTTACTGTAAACAGCACTTTGAGGCGCTCAAGCGCAAAACTGTCAATGCAAGCGCATTGAAGAAGATGCCCAGAGGCGATATGAACATGGAGCTGCTTATTGCTCTGTGAACACTAATCATTTCTTCATCGCTAGAGCTGGAGCTGCTGCTTGAACCATCTATGCTTGTTCGAGTCACCAGTAACTTTATAAACAAACGTACGAACTTCCTCTCCTCCTCTTCTTCTGTGTTATAACCGGGTGTCAGAAGCTTATAGTTGTGCAGCGCCATCTAATGTCAAAAGAGGGATTTAGCATACTCTTCAGCTTGACGCTAGTGGAAAGCGCTTGGGTTTGAACACTGAAAAACGGCAATAAACGCAAACTAAAAACGCCCCGGTGTGTAGGAGCCTTTACATTCATTTTGGAAGACTCCCCCCTTCCACCCTATCTCCTCCTTTTCCTCCTTTACCAGGAGTTCTTGAGAACTACCTAATCTCAGACCCCCGTACATGCTCACTGGCACACAGCTGAACCTGGCCTAGAGTGGTTGTAGCTGAACATTGTGCTAATTTCCACTGGTCAGGACATTCTCTTACTTGATTACGTGGGCAATTAGCTAACTATAACAAAGGCTGATTATGTTGATCTTGGCACACAACCCAGAAGGTTTTACCTCAAGAAATCCTATATATGGAGCAGAAAAATGGTGGCAGATTATTTATCTCCATCACACATTGATTCCCATGCTGGATGTTGGTCTGGGAATGTGGTGACTGATTCTCTTCCACAGACTTCTAACAGGATAACTAGATAATGGCTAAGAAATTGCTGGGTTGCATCAGTAATGTTCATATCCTTGACAAACCGTCTTGTTGTTGTCTGAGGTTGAATTATGGGATAGTGGTGCGGACACTGTTTGGACATTTGGAGATTTGGCTTGACTTTCTTTGCGCTTTGGGATCACTAATATGGAATATTTCACTGATAACGATAACCGATAACTCTTTAGATTCGGAGGCTAATAGCCAGTATATTATCTGATAAGTTTCACTTTTTTCTGCATGATTACGAAAACAAAAGGCAAACTCATATAGTGAGCAACTGATTTCATTTTCAAATCTTAATTCAAAAAAAGTTGAAACTTTACCAATCAACTTTTCGTTTCTATGGTCGACTAATCTACTGTCTGACCAAAAACAAATCAGAATACCAGTAAAATAATAAAACCATGGCAGGCAGCAAAGAAATGAAAAGGTTCAACCAGTGGAAAATATTATTAACTATGTTGATATTATCAAGATATCTGCCTAATTTTGTTATCGAACCGGTTAACAATAACATTAAAAACTGCATTTATCGGCCGATATTTATATTAGTGATGGTATTTATGTGGGGAAAGCCTTATGGACTGTCTATTAAAGTCAAAATGATCTAGACTGATGGATTTGGTGCCAAGTTGACAGCCAAAATGACAGTGCAGTAGAGACTTAAAGTGAAAACAACCTTGGTATTACTATAGGGTAGCTTGCACACACTGAAAAAAAATTATTCAAAGATGATTCCTTAGATTTACTAATTTTTTTGTAAATATAATTGAATAAGATGCTGCATTTCTTTGGGTCATGCAGTACAATTTACTTCGGTTGGATACGAATGAGTTCCTGACCCCTCATTTCCAATCATTCCTTCAAGAAATGAATGAATCTTTCAATATCCTTCGTTGTACTGCACGCAAAACAAAAGCTAAACCATACCGTGTATATCCATACCCAAGAGGCATAAGAAAGTAGGTCAAAAGAAGAAAACAAAACCCCTCAAAAAAAAATAAAAAAGACTTCCTCCTCACGAGTCTCCAGATCCCTTTACTGTCCCTTCTCCTCGTCCCTTCTGCGCTCCTCTGACCCGACCATTCTTCCTGGACGATTTGACTGCAGGAATGCAGGTCCTCTCCAAGTTAAGGCGACCCACTGCGAGCATCCTATGCACATCTGGGACTGATTAATAGCGCCTAGATGGGACTACGGTGGGACAAGCTAACGCCCAGATGTGTCCGCGCATATCCAATACTGCAATTCATCAGCATCTCTATATTGCTGCTTGACTCATAATGTGAGTGATGGTATTTATATGGGGAAAGCCTAATGGGCCGTGTCTATAAACGTCAAAGTTAGCTTGATTTATAGATTTGGTGCCTAGTTGGCAGCCAAAATTACAGAGACTTAAGGTAAAAACAATCTTAGTATTACTATTCTTGGGTAACTTGCACAACTGACACACAGACTGTATCTAAAATCACATCTATACCTTTAAATAGTGCAATATTTGAGGGAACAGCCATTTGTAGTGGGTTCCGAAAGCATTGTAGTGCTCTTAATCAATCCCACAATAACGAGTGAACAACCCATGTACACTCAACAGCTAGAAAGTACTTGTGGCTATAAAAGTCAAAATGACCTTGATTTATTGATTTGGTGCCTAGTTGACAGACAAAGTTACAGAGACTTAAAGTGAAAACAACCTTAGTATTACTACTCCAAGGTAGCACAATTGGCACACAGACTGTGTCCAAAATCACTCCTGTACCCTTAAATAGTGCACTGTTTGAGGGAGCAACCATTTGTAGTGAAGTGCACTCAATCAATCCCACAGTAGAAGATACTGTACGAAATTCAGAAAATGTTCATTTTTGAGTGAACTCTCTCTTCAAGGCTTGACTCATTTGAGCACTTTTATGGCAACATATCTGCAAGGCAAAAGGGAAACCACCTCAAAGTCACGTTGGCAAACTTGGCAGCAATGCGCAGACCTCGGTTCCCAGAAACAAGGATACTCATATTCCAGAGAAAGGGGGGATGTGTTGGTGATGCAGACAACATTCGGAAGTAATTATGCCTTGATTGCAGTTTGAGTGGCTTGTCGGATCAAAACCATTCACCTACACTCTCTCTATCCGCCAAACACCCGCTCACCTCTACTTTCCGTTTAGTCACAGCTGTGTTTCTGAGCCAGCTACCACTCATCAGTGTAGATTCTTTTAAGGCAAGTTGGGGAAAATAGTACCTCCATGAGCAGCGGTGTAACGTAACCAATACTCCGATTACTGCTACTGAGTAGCTTTTCTCTGGAATTGTACTTTACTGAGTAGTTTAAAAACCTGCGATCACTAGTTTCCATGTTTATTTGATCTTCTCTAAGGTGATTGGCTAAGTAGAATAATTGCTCCCGTGATTCCTGTGCAATCAAATCATGCATTGAAAAATTGCGTCAGATTGACCCACATCAAGACACTTGTGAGGAAGCATTAAAAGTGTTCAGGAAAATACAAAATCATTACATGCAATGAATTTTTAGACAAGGAGTGTCCAAACTCTGTCTTGGAGGCCCTGTGTCCTGCATTGTTTAGCTCCAACTTACTTCAAAATACCTGCCTGGAAGTTTCTAGTATACCTAGAAAGAGCTTGATTAGCTGGTTCAGGTGTGTTTAATTGGGGTCGGAACTAAACTATGCAGGACACCGGCCCTCAAGGACTGAGTTTGGACACGCCTGGTTGAGACTGAATGGCTGTGTCCGAAACTGCATACTTCCATACTATATAGTACACTAAAATCAGTATGCACGCGAAGTAGTATGTCCGAATTCATAGAATTCGAAAATCAGTATGCGTGAAGTACCCGGATGACTTACTACTTCCGGCGAGATTCTAGAGTGCGCATCCCATGCATGCTGCGCTATCCCATGATGCCCCGCGAGCAAATTCATGAATGGGAGTAAAGCGACGCAATTGACGCAGGTAGGTCACGTGACCATGACAAAATGGCGGATGTAGTACGTCCGAATTCCATTCATACTTTTCACGTTCATACTGTATAGAACGCACTTTTCTAACGGCCGAGTAGTACGTTTAAATTCAAATGCAGTACCTACTGAGTAGTAGGCGGTTTCCGACGCAGCTAATGTCTTTGAGGATGATGCCTACAGTTTGATGACTGAAATGACCAAATGGTCTTAATCCAGGAATGGGTAACTTTGGTCCTGGAGGGCCATGATTATTCAACCTTAATCGGACACACATGCCTGTAGCTATTTAGTGATCTTGATAAACTGATTAGCACAGGGGTGACCAACCCTGCTCCTGGAGATCTACCCTCCTGCAGATTTCAGTTGCAACCCATATCAAACACACCTGCCTGTAATTATCCAGAGCTGTTCAGGTCCTGATTAATAGGTTCAGGTGTGTTTGATTAGTGTCGGGACAAAACTCAGAAAGACAGTTGCCTTCCAGGACAGATGTTGCCCATCCCTGCCTTAAACAATCACTAAATCAGGGGTGCCTAAGCTCGATCTTGGAAGGCCGATCATACCTGCCAACATTTGTCTCCGAAATTCCAGGAGAACGTGAGGGGGTGTGAAATTTGGGGGACTTCTTGGAAAAACAGGAGGGTTGACAGGATATGAGGTATCCTGCAGAGTTTTGTTCCAACCCCAATGAGACACACCTGAACCAGCCAATCAAGCTTTTTCT